GGAGTTTGGCTCATCTGACACCGAGGTGTTACAACAACCAATGGAGGGACCTGAGGTGGCACTTCAAGAAATAGTTCTGCAAACTCTTCCTCTCCTTCCATTTCCTCAGGGTCTTCATATTCATACTTAGTTACTCTCATGTCAAAAGTTATCTTCTTACTGGAGCGTGCTTTCTTGGCAGGCTGAGGTTCATCAGTGTCAGAATCATAGTAAAAATGCAGGTCAGATGGAGAAGTTTCTAGATCCTCGTCCGGTATCTTCAAAGGGATATGCATCACAGTTGTCCGGCCCATCAGTGACACAGGACAGAGAGAAGAGCCTGGTGCAAAACTGCTAGACTCCCAGTTCCTGTCTCGACAGACAACACTTCTTGGCTCTCTCCAAGGACTGGCACTTCTGACAGTATCTTCCGAGGTGAAATGTCTTTTATGAGGATTAGAGACATTCTTCTTAACTTCTGGGTCAACAGAACTACGATCAGTTCCTTGTAACTGGCAGGTAGTTGGCTGTTCAGAGGCATCATGGCAATTAGAGTCATAGTTCTTAACTTCTGGGGCAATACAATTACCATCAGGCCCTTGTAACTGGCAGGTAGTGGGCTGTTCAGAGGCATCAGGACAATTAGAGTCATAGTTCTTAACTTCTGGGGCAATACAATTACCATCAGGCCCTTGTAACTGGCAGGTAGTGGGCTGTTCAGAGGCATCAACATTGAAATTGAGTTCATGACCACAAGATGAACAAGTGGAATCTCCCAGAATAATGTAGTCATTCTTCCGATTTATTATTTTGAAACTTTCCTTGGACTGATTTGTCACTGACTGAGAGGCTTCATAATCACAACCACAGAATCTGCAAAAGTACTTTTCCATTGCTGCAGAACCAGCAGAATCCGTGTTTATCTCATTGGTTTCTCTGACAGTCAACTGAGGTGGCTCAGTTTCTAGCTGAAGAGGGATATTTGAATCAGAAATTACTTCCCGGTCACAATCACTATCACTGGACACAACATCCACAAACACCACCTGTGGTGAATCTGTTTCTCCATCATCTGCTGTTTGAAGCTGGTTAACTACTATCTGAAAAGAGACATCAGAATCATACAGCATTTCTGGCTCACAAGACTCGTTGTACTTTTCTTCTATGTCAGGCTCTTTCTTCTCAAGATCTGCTACTGTGCAAGCCACTTGAGGTGGGTCAACTTCTGACTGTAGATGAACACCAGAACTGCATGGTACTTCAGAACAACATGGCTGGAAGGTCTCATTTTCTAGGTCATTATGAGTCTCTCTTTGCAAGTTTACTTCTGTGATAGATGCATCCTCCACAGATGGATATGTCACCAACTGAACAGGATCATCAGGATAGTAAGTTGGTTCAAAATCAACTAGCCTGTAGCTCTTGTCTTCCAGGTAAATATGGTCTTCCTTCAGAGTCATTTCCTTGACAGTTTTCTGAGGATGGCCTGCTACTGACTGACAAGGATCACTGGAATCCAAACTCGTTTCAGGACCGTCATGAGAATCAACACTCACCTCAGGACCACAAGGACTGCTGCTCTTTACTTTCGTACTGGTACACTCTGTTTGCAAACACTGTGGTTTCCGAGTCACTGAGCAAAAAATGACATTTGAAATAGCCACTATTTCAGAGTCACAGGGGTCACAGTCACTATCATGTGGTCTAACATGTCCCCTCAGTAAATGTATTTCTTCAGCAGGCTCTTGGGTTGTATTAGTCACAGACTGGAGTGGTTCATCAGAATGCAAGTTGATTTGTGAGTCAATAGATTCACCAACTGTATCTTCCAAATCCCCCTGCTCCTTCCAATGGCTGCTCTCCTGAACTACTTCAACTTCAGTTTGGCCAGCCAATGGCTCAGGGACATTGGAAACACATGTATTTCCCAAACCCTGCACCTCATCCTTCTTACCCTCCGTGTCCTCTTTATCCTTCTGACTTTGGTTTTCCTCACTGTCACTACGCTGATCAGCCTCTGATTGGGCAGAGTCATTAGAATCACAAGACTCATTATTCCTACCTTCAAGTTCAATGTGTTCAGGCTCCAAAACAGTTATTTCGGGTGCTCCAACTACTGCCTGGACTGACAAATCAGAGTGCAAGTTTGTTTCAGAACTGGCATCCTGGCTGTTATCTTCTGAGGGCAATTGATCATTACTATCAAGATTTATTTGTTTAAGAGCTAGTTCAAGGTGATCCATTGCAGAACGAAAAGAAACACTAGAATCATGCATTAGTTTTGAATAAATAAGTTCACTGATCTTCTTTTCAAGGTCCTTTGCCTCGTTTTTCCACTGGCTCATTTTTGTGATCACATCGTCTTTAGGTGGTGACTGACAGTGGCCAGGAGAATCAACACTTGCTTTAGAATCACTGGGTTGGCCGTTTGTGTCTTCCAGTTCAACATGGTCTTCCTTCTCGGCTGGCTGAGGTTGGCTAATGACTGAATCAAGACAACCAGCAGCATTCAGACTGCCATCAGTGCTCTCGTCCTTTGGGTCAGCATGGTCCTCGTTCAAAGCAGCTGGTTGAGGTTCTTCAGTCATTAACTGAGGCAAACCATCAGAATGGAAAGTTGGTGGACAGTCATATTCATCATCGCTCTTGACTTCCTCAAGATGCTTTGTCTTTCTCTTGGCTTTCTTACCTACGTAAGGTTCTGTCACTGCTTGAGGAGCAGAAGAAGAAGCTGAATTGATTTCAGAAAGAGACTCCGTGCTTTGACTTGGCAATTGAGCATGCTTTTCTTTTGGAGGGCATACATTTTTGACAATTATTTCACATTTGCGAATAACTGACTGAAAGGGGATATGAGAATCCAGTGTTGTTTCAGAAGCACGTATTATAATAGGATCTTCAGAACATCCAGGCTTTGAGTTAAGAGTGTCTAGTTCAGAATCAGTAGGTTCATTTTCCTTCTGTTCTATGTGTACCTGCTCTTCGTTAGGGGAATTTATCTTTTCAACAGCTACATCAGAATTAGTCACTGAATGAAGAGGGGCATTAGAATCCAAACATATTTCAGAACCACTGGGACTGTCATTCTTCCCTTCTAAAGGAACGTTTTCTTCTTCCTGAATGATTACTTCTTTAACAGCTACTTCAGGGTGATCATTTCCTGAATGAAGAGGAATATCAGAATCATATGTTATTTCGGAAACACAAGATGCATTACTCTTATTTTCCAGATCAACAGGTTCCTCCTCATAAACAGCTACTTGAGGTTGGTCAGCTACTGAGTCATCGGGAATATCAGAATCAAAAGTTATGTCAGAACTACTTGACACACAGCTTTCATCTTCCAGGTTAAAGTCATCTTCGTTTATTCCTTCAACATCCAGCAGAGACCGCTCAGTAACTGACAGAAGAGGGGAATCGGAATCAAATGTCAACTCAGAACTGGAGCACCCATTGCTCTTAACTTCCATGTCGACATTTAACTCATCAAGATTTACTTCACCCCAAGCCCCTTGAGGTTGATCATTAGCTGACTGATAAGAAGCACGGGAATCAGAACTTAGGTTAGAAATGCCAGAGTGAACACTCTGATTTTCTAGGTCAAGATCTACTTCCTCAGGATTTAGTGGAGATTGATCAGCCTCTAATTGAGCATCAGCATGAAAACCCATTTCAGGACCATGAGACTCACAGTTCATATCCCCACGGCTGGTACTCTGGTTCGGAACATTTATTTCTTCTGCTTCTCTCTGGGGTTCATCAGCCACTGTCTCAAGAGAACCATCACGTTCAGGTTGTGCTTCAGCACTACTGGGTTGGTGTTCACTTTCCTGTTGGCCAGCTCTGTCTCTGGGGCTTCTTTCTTGAGCGGGCATTTGGGGAGCCGCGTCACTGTCAGAACTGAAACTACTTGACCCGTAATTCTCATCAACCAGGTGTGCATGGGCATTCTTCGGAGGCTGTTGCTGTCCTGCTGCTGCTGCTGCTGGAGTCTCATCAGCTGAGGACCCAGAATCTTCACATGCTTCAGAGCTGCCGCTTCCATAGCTGTCAACCAGACGGATGGCCATCTGTGTACGAAGGCTTGCTGCTCTCATAGGCTGTGCAGGATGGTGACTAGTTGACGGAAGAGAGTCATCGCCATCAAAATTCTCTTCAGAGCCACTAGACTCGTAGCTTTCATCAACCAGACTGATGAGCTGTATGTTCTGTGTAATCACTGGAGAACGGTTGGTAGGCACCTGATGAGAACTGCTGCCATTGTCTGAAGTTGCTCCAGAAACAGTAGGTGTTTCATCCTGAGGCTGTACATTGTCAGCATGTGTTTCTTCTGATCCATTTATTTCTCTAGCCGTCAGTTCAGATAGGGCACTCGGAGACTGACCAGAGGACTCAGAATCAAAACTCGTGTCAGAACCTCTAGATTCGTAGCTCTCATCTTCTTGATCGGGTCCCTCTTCGTCCTCTTCTTCCTCTTCTTCCTCCTCTTCCTCCTCCAGATAACGTAAGTCGTGTACTGCAGCTTGGGAATGACCAGGTACCAGCTGAAGAGAGCCACGCTGGAAAGTCACTTCAGAACTCACTGGGCGTTCCTGTCTGTTAAAGACCAAACATGTCTCTTCTCGGGGACGAACCACATTTGAACGAGATGCCTCACCACGACGCTTTGGAATGGCACCTTCACGAAGTGCTCGTGCTAGTGTGTCAGTCTCACTGGGGTTTCCCGATGTGCCTTCCCCTGCCTCAGAAGACGGCCCAGCTCTTACAGAACAAAGCTCATCACCTGTTAACTCACGAACTCGTACAACGGGGGAAAAAGACGCACCCTGAGCTCTGAGATTTTTCTGTGCAAGCAATTTGTCTAAATTTATGTTTAAAGGTTTCTTTTTCGGGTCTTTAGTTTCGGGTTGAGATGGCGGATTGCTAGTGCCCTGATCTGGGGAGTCAAAGTATGTTTCAAGGTTTTCTGTGTCACAAGCTGGAAAGGAATCTGAAGCAACTGCCAGTACTAACCGAGGAGCACTGGTAGCCGCAACTGGTCTCTCAGAGCCTCTAGGCAAAGATCTGGCAGGAGCATTACAAATCACTGGGGGACGCACTAACTCTTTTCCACTAGTTGTAGCCTGAACACCGACTGAATTAACTCTTTCCACACCACTCTCAACTTCCTGAGCCAACTCCAAGGGCTGCTGCTGCCCCCGCTCCAGCCTTTGAATAACTGATGGTCGAACCGCAACCTCTGCACACTCCTGGGAAGTACCAGGTCTACAATCTATCTCTTCAACAGATTCCGAATCCTCCGAGTTCTGCTCTCCAGTGCTCTCGGTAGTATCATCCTCCTTTTCGTCGGAGTCATCCAAAACAACCACTTCAGGTGACTCAGGATTTGCTGCTGCTGCCGCCGCTGCTCCCTCCGCCGCCGCCGCCGCCGCCGCTGCCGCTGCTCTCTCCTCCGCAGCTGCTCCCTCCGCCGCTGCTCCCTCCGCCATGGCTGCTCCCGCTACTGCTCCAGCTGCTGCCACCGCTGCCTCCTCTGGTGCAGGTCTAAGAATAATGAGGGAAAAAAAAAACATTAAAATACCCAAGTTTTTGCTTAGAATTCATGGTATTGTTTGTATTATGGACTATTATTGGAAAAAGAACACAAGTTATCACACCAGATTGTACACTCTATATACTTTAGAAGTTAACTGGTAGAGAAGATACAGTAAGTCCACCAGCTGCTATTTCATAAACAAATGGCTCCTGAACATACAAAAATGTAAATGAATCCCTGTCTCCATTTTTCAGTTATCACAAAAGACAGAAAAGTCTGATCCAGAGGCTCAGGATGTCACTCAGTCGGTAAAGCGCTTGCCAAGTATGTGCAAGGCCCTGGGTTTGGTCCTCAGAAACCTCTGTTTTTAAGAGCTATGTCAAAAAAAGACAAACTACAGAGTTAATTCTATCTATAGAAGCACATGGAAGAAGCTAGTCCTATCTGTTACCTTTAGGAAAATGAACAGAAAAGTCTGGGGCCTCAACAGGAACACAAAGAATATGTATTTGTCTCCTTTTTTTAAAGGTAGTGACCTGGCTATGCTGCCCAGGTTGACCTTTCTCTAGGATGAGCAATGCTACCACCTCAGTTTCCCAGGCAGCTGGAATTAGAAGCACAACAGCATTACACCTAGCTTACAACTGAGTCACTTCTGAATGTTCTTTCTGAATTATGTCTACATACACTGTATTTTCCATTCAAAAGTTCAAATTACTTTTTGTTCTTTGTTAGTGTGTTTTGTTTTGTTGAGACAGGGTTTTTCTTTTCTTTTTTTCTTTTTTCTTTTGGTTTTTTTGAGACAGGGTTTCTCTGTGTAGATTTGCGCCTTTTTCCTGGAACTCACTTGGTAGCCCAGGCTGGGCTCGAACTCACAGAGATCTGCCTGCCTCCCAAGTGCTGGGATTAAAGGCGTGTGCCACCACCGCCCGGCGAGACAGGGTTTTTCTGTGTAACAGCTCTAGCTGTCCTTGAACTCACTGTGTAGACCAGGCTGGCCTCAAACTCACAGAGATCCACCTGCCTCTGCCTTCTGAGTGCTGGGATTACAGACATGGCTGGCTGATTAAATTACTTTTCTAAAGATCTGAAATTCCATATCTAAACATCTGTAGGTCATCTTTCTACTACCGCCAGCACAACAAGCTTGATTCAAAACATTTTAGAAAATCTTCTTTCATATATACAAACAGCTGTCCTCAAGACAGTCACAGTCTTCATTCAAGTCATAGCAATCATCTACTAAAGGTTCTCTACTCAGTGGTACTCTCTATGGTAGACAGTGAACAAATTCAAAGAAAGACAATCTGGCTCTCAAGCAGCATTCAGTTGGCAGCAACATCCAGTACAAAATGTCAATATCAGCTCATTTAGACCCACAAAAAAAGGTATCACAACTAAGAGAAGCCTAAGGTATCATAAGCTAATTTAAGGTGGATATCCTAAAACAGAAAGAAATCAAACTTGAAAATCTTGGTTTAAAAATCCAATTTAAAAATTACTAAAGAGGCTGGGTAGTGGTGGTCCACACCTTTAATCCCAGCACTCTGAAGGCAGAGGCAGGTGGATCTCTATAAGTTCAAGGCCAGCCTGGTCTACAAAGTGAGTTTCAGGACAGCCAAAGATACACAGAAAAAACTTGTCTCGGGAAAAAAAAATTATTAAAGAAACAAGTTATAGACTTTAATGTATTATCAGTTCACTAGTTATAACAAATGTACCAGACTAATGTTGAGGCATTAATATTAGGTAAATTCAGTGAAGTCATATTATAAAGACCCTCTTTAAGGGTGGGGAGTGACAAGGTCTTACTATGTAGCCAGATGTGATGGAACTATGTAGGCCAGGCTGGCGTCAAACAGAGATCCTCTACTTCCTGAGCGCTGGGATTAAAGGCGTGTGCCATTATGCCCAACTTTATAAAAACAAAGAAAACCCTTCTTTATTAGCGCTTTTAATTTTTCTGCTAAAATTTTCTTTAAAAGATTACAGCCTAAGGCTGGAGGAGATGGCTGCAATGGTAGAGTACCTGCTGTTTGAGAACCTGAGTTTGGATCCCCAGCACCCACATGAGAACCAGAAACAGACAAAGCAGTGCACATCTATAACACCAGCATAGTGCAAGCTGGATGGATCCCAGGAGCTCACTGGCCAGCCAGTCTAGTCAAAACAGGTAGTTCAACCTTGAGTGTGAGACTGTCTCAAAAAATAAGGTGGGGAGCCAAAGACACTCACAGCATCAAGCTGTAGCCTCTTACACACACATATAATACTACAGTTTAGCAATAGCAAGGTGGTCATCTCAGAAACCTGTCATCTCAGAACTCAAAGAGACTATGGAGAAGGGGATCAAAGCCATGCTGGGACACATTCTGAGACACTGTCTGAAAAACACCCAACAGGTGCTCACTTCGGCAGCACACACACAACAACCGGACTGACAGAGATGAGCACTGGCCCCTGCACAAGGATGACATGCAAATTTGTGAAGCATTCATATCTTTGTGTGTGTGCATTTAGTGTTTTTAAAATATTAAATGAAATAGTGTGTTACCATAAAAAGTGACAAACAAATGTTTATAAAAATTAGAAAATACAGCTGGGTGTGGTGGTGCATGCTTTCAATACCAACACATGGGAGGCAGTGGCAGGTGGAGCTCTGTAAGTTTGAGGCCAGCCTTGTCTAAATAGTGAGTTCTGGGCCAGTCAGGTCTACATAGTAAGACCCAATCTCAAAAGAAAAAAAAGAAATGGTAAAAATTAAAAAACAAGTATTTTTTTTAAACTTGAGAAATGCCACATTTATCTGAAAGCATGTGTGCATGTGCCAGCAAGTGGCAACTGTAGTGGGTAGCCATTCCAGCTTTGATCTGGAAGTTCCAACCCCCATTGAGGCTTCACACCTACAAGGCGGGGCCGAGAGAGGGCCCTGAAGACCCGAGATCCGGATGCACCACCTTCTCTTGCTTCCTGGACCCTGGATGCTAGAGGTAGACTGAACAGAGTTCTCCAGAGAACACCGCTGGACTGTGCTACCTCTTCCCCAGACCCTACAACCTACCTATCCCTTCATTTGTAAGTTATGCCACTAATAAACCTCCCTTTTAACTATATGGAGTGGCCTTAATAATTTCACCAATATCTGGTGCCCAATTGCTCCTGGCAGCACCAATTTGATCCCAAGAGAATGTTGGGCTTCTAAGACATTTCCATTTGGAAGTTTGTCTTCTTGGCACAAAATGGCC